AAAAGCAGTTATGTAAACGAACCTTGACACCAGTAAACTCTGTCTGCTCTGGATCAAGTTTACCTTCGAGCGCTTTTCCTAGACCAAGTACTGAGACGGTAGTAAGATGCGATACAAGAGAGTCGAATTCTCTGAAATTAATTTTTTTTCAAAACGGCCAGCGTTCTTGATAATTGTTCATTCAACGAACGATACGTAGCCAATCATCCCATTAAAAAACTCGCTCTTTATTTCAAAACTCTGGACAGTTCGAAGGGCAGCGCGGTGCACATTCACTCATTATAAGCAACAGCTCGTCATGCTCTTCACGTGGAGTACGTAGCATCCGCTAATTGACAAGCACAGATAGTTCCATCAATCAATATTTGTTTGTTCAATCTTTCAGTATTAATAAATGTATGTGTCTGAGTGTTGCATTCACCTAGCTCGTAGAAAAAGTTTTTCTAACAGTCAAATCTGGCAAAGCCTAATGCAGAGTTGTAACGCCCCTTTTCAAAATTTGGGAAATAGTAACACTGTTAGAGTCAAAACAACGTCTTTCATCAGATCTTTGTCACTCATAGATTTAATTAGAATTGGCGCAAAGAAAAAGCTTGTAAACACTAAAAATCTAGAAAATGTTCATCAAGTTTTACCTGAACGTACCTCATTTGATCATCAGTGAAATGTTTTAAATCCGAGTAGTTCAGATCGAATGAGAAATCATCGGTATAGGAAGTGAATGTTATAGTCTGAAACATCACATTACTAAAAACATCAAAAAATGATTCTTGTCAACTCAGAAGTTAAATCGAAAAGCAGCTTATGAAGACAGCGAAACACATTTGCAAGAATCTGCCGAACTTTGGTTTATACGACTGAATGATCTAAAATTAAATTTTCTGGCGCTGCTTCAGCATTGTTTTAATTCGATGATATTTCTACTTTATATAAATCGCAAAAAGTGTCTCTATGTGTGTACGTATAATTGTTTGTTTGTTTGCGTGTCTGTGTACCAGTGTGTTTATGTGACTGAAAATTCATGCCCATAAACTCTCTTTCACTCTAAATAGAGCGTTCAAATCATGGCAAATGTGAGGAGACAGGAAACCTGGATAGGCGATTTCAAATTCAATTCTTTCTATGCCCTCAAAAACTGCCATTTTATTTCTACCTAGGCTAATTTTTAGCTTTTTCCAGAACGATCTTATAGATGTGTGTAAATATTGGTAATAGCTTTTCCACCTTGATGGCCGCCTCATATACTTTGAACTTTGACTCCTCTTCCTTTGTTTATCTCTATTCCTAGTGTAAACGCATTTGGGCCAGAATACATCTGACTCCTCTTCCTTTGTTTATCTCTATTCCTAGTGTAAACGTATTTGGGCCAGAACACATCTTGGATGAACTTTTACCAACGAGGGGCCAATCCCGCCCGCCACAAAGCTTTTATCTCCTTTCTATTGATAGCATCTACCCATCTCGCCCTGTTCACTGTAACGTTTTTGGACACGAATAAAACGTTTTAGCCTAAGCTCTGCCACATTGGCGCCGGCCATTCACAGTGGGTGTTTGTATTCTCAATTACTCAAACGACTGGTTGCTTTCAGGCTTCGACGTCCGTCCGTCCGTCCGTCCGTCGGAACACGCACGCGACGGACGGACGGATGGACGTCGAAGCTTATAAGCAACCAATCGCTCGCTGCACGCTGATCCATTTTGGTTCCTAAAGTTATATTATGCTCAAAATCATAATCAACCAAAGTGGAAAGCTCATAATTACATAATTTACACTATTTTCGAAATAAATCATGAAAAAAGCTTGAAAAAAGGTAAAATGGTTCACACTAGAAAAAAGAATAAACCGTAGGACAGCGCGGCTCAACGGTGAGCCGCAGAAGCGGAGAGCTTAGAAATATGACTGTCGTGCGCGCCAGACCGCAAAAAGGCGCGCTGTCGTCAAAGGGTTAATCCATTTCAACATTTTTACTTACGTAACGCCGCTGTTTCATGACATTTGGGTACTTTTACTTGGGTAACACTGAAGATAAGTGGCAGATCCCGTAGGCTGAGTCCAGTCCAACCCCTATCATAAGTGTTCCCATCCTACTTCCTTAACCCACAAACCGACACATACCGACACACCCACCGACACCTCGTGAGGTCAAGTTCAGAATGGGTGAGGCTTAGAGCAAATCAACAGAGAACATATCAGCTAAACGGAAGTCTGACCAGAGTAGAACATGCACGGGTATGGGGGATTGCCAAAGGCAAAACTTCTTCGTTGTTCAGAAGTTGTTAGGATAATTTCATTAGAGACACCGAAAGAAAATCAGCAAATAGCAATCGGAGTGGGTCAACAAATGTGACAAAGGATGTAGTTATAAGGTCCATTAGAAGTGCATGGAAGTACCGCTGACTCTGAGGACGCAGTGGAGAGCGAGCGGCACTTCCCTCGTAAACTTATACTCGCTTTCCCTGAGACTGGGAGACTGGACAAAGTGTTGGATCAATTAAAGTGTGCTAAGCATACATGAGCTTAGGAAGATCCGGTCGAATGTGCATGGCGTGATCTCGAATAGGATGTACTTTGAAAAAATTCATATTTTTGTTCAAAAAACTTTAGAATCAGAAAGAAGTGGTCAGATTCCAGTGGTAACGAAGGAAGCCTGTACCAAGGTGGGCAGGGCTAACAATAAGATCAAACACTATTACTCTGTTCAAATGTAGAATCAGAGAAGATAAATGCGGGCTAAGCTTTCCACATAGATTCCCAATTAGATTTCACCGCAGCCCGCTAGCCACATACTTGAGCGTTGAAGATGTGATTGAAAAAACTCTTGACTCCGATCAAAGCCTTCTTTGCTGTGATGCACGCGTTCGTGGTTCACTGTACCAATGGAATGAGTAAAACAATGCGCAGGCCAGAGAAAATAACTTCAACAGGCGAAACAGGGGGTCAGAGAACACCGATGCAGTTCGATGTCCCCATTTCGAAAAAATGGCAGGAATAGGTAAAGGGTAATACGGTTCGTACGATTGAAAGAGGAAGATAACCCAACCTTACACAGGGTACAAATCCAAGTTTAAATGACTTGAAGTACAGTAACCAGCGGGGAGTTAGGAGTCTTCCCACAAAAATGAAATATTTAGAAAGAAAAATGAGCAAAAATTAAAAGTCGAAGTTTGATGGCACAAAACATTCCCGACAAAAGAAAGGAATGTAACAGGTGGTGTGAACTATGGTGCTATGGGGAAGCACTCACTTTCCTGACGGTTGGATAGTATCCCTTGAAATGGAACAGCTGTCTTGTGAAAGGCTTTTCAATAAACTCTCCATTCTCCTGTTTCTGTTTACTTGCAAAATTGACCTGAAAAAATTAGCTTTAACTTAAGCTACTAGCATTTAGCAACCTGCGTAAATATAACAATTAACAATTAAGTTCACAAAACCTGGACTGGAAAAACCACTAATTCTTCTACACCGAACGGCTTGACTTTGAAACCCTTGCTTAGGTGAGCAGCCTGCAAACATCGAAATAAAGTGAAGGACACTATATAGAATAGTCACCATGATAGTTACGTACCTGGTACAGCGCTCCCATGGCAATAGCTTCATCAGTATTCAAAAAGCGACCGAGCTCTTTACTAAATATTACTAATATCTCTCAAAGAATTCATTGATCGAAGTACTATAACCAAGAAAGTTGACTACCCTTACTGATAGCCACAGTAAGTTATACTCAAATTATAAGCTTATGTTGTATGTACAAGCACTGATGCATCACGCAAACAGAAATGCACGAATGACATTGTAGTTCCCATTATATAAACATCCTACCTGCCAATAAACTTCTGTAATTCTTCTTGAACCCTTGGAACACGGGTGCCAGCGCCCATCAAAACAACTTGATCAACCTGGAATGCATCATTACTAGAGATATAGCCTCGGAAACCCGTTTCCACAATTGTCTGATGTTGCAGCTATGCAAATGAGGTCAGCAGGATTACCAGAAACTGTAGCAAATGTGAGCGAAACAGGACTGGGGCATCCATGCCATGCCCCCACACATTTAACTTTGATGCAAGCTCGCAGCGGCTTTTGCGCAATTCAAGTTTTCTTCTTTGCAGGCAATTCTATCAATTATCAACAGAAACAGAAGAAGGAAGGCTCTGTTGCAGTTCATATCTGCAGTGGCAGCATCACTAAGCACAAATTGTTCATTCAATCCGATAAAGAACTGAAGGGACACAGGTGAGGATGTCCCATCGTCATCAGCTATTATCAAAAGAGGAGTTGGTGAATCCTGAGCGTAGAGTCGAAGATGATGGGTACTGACAGACGAGAGGTTTAGGAATTGTAGAAAAAGATGATAGTATAATAGTTTTAGGCAGTCGGCAAGCATCGATCTATACTATTGGTTCCGCACATAGGGCGCAAAGCGAGAAAAGCCATACCCATGGAGGAATATGAACAGAAGCAGAATTTTTTATTTAGGGCAGAAACAAAGGCCAAAATAATTCAACAGTGTGCAAATCACTGAAAGCCTGAATTGATAACGGTACATCATTTGAAGCCACTCTTGCGCTGATCTCGATTCGTCTTATCAGAACTCCAAAATAGTTCTTTGCAAGAGATAAAGCAAATTCCTTGCGGCATTTTTTACGCTCATACCGATGAGGGATGTAAAGGGATGCCTAGTGATGCTTATTACTCAGAATGAGGTCAGAGATTATGTTCCTCCACAGACTTGTTCACTTAAAAACTTCACGTTGTTCGACACTGAAAAAATTAGTAAGAATACGAACAATATAGTCTTCCATTCCGTTTTAGGATGCGCCTCACAGTCCTCGCAGTTTTATTCATAGTCTATACGGAACTTGACTGCGTGCCTTATACAACTGCTAGCTGGAGTCTAGTACGTACCAGTGCCTTTCTCCGAAAGAAAATGATGAGTGGCCTTGACAATAACTTGACCCAAAAATGTTCCTGGAGCCTTAGATCGATTTTCTTTCCAACATCAGAGAATGTCAGTGTGCCTCACCTGATCCAATTGCAGTTCAGCCATCTTCAGAGCTTGAGTTAATGGTATTGTCACTCGGGGCATGAGATCATCAATAAGATGGTTGAATTCCTCACGAGTCACGTGGACTCGCATGTCTATGTCTTCGTGGACGCTTTCAACTTGCGCATAATAGTCAACATTGGCACTCAGCACCTCAAATTAAGAATCATTATGCACAGAGAAAATGTGCACAAAGCGGCTTACCTGCTTCAATCGCTCAGCTTCTTTGAATAGTTTGGCCATGGCTCGTTGGCTTGTTGTGATATCTTCTGCAGACTTATAGTGCAGTCTGAACTTTTCCACCAGGAGATCTCTCAAGCGCATGGTCATTTCTAAGCCTCCCAAATAGCGATCGAACCCAACTCCCAACACAGACATCTACAAGGAAAACACGAGCATTCGTTTACATTCACGGCATGCCATGCCAAAGAAAATTATAGTGAACAACTATACTACTGTGGGATTGTTGTACCTTCGGTTCTTTGCCATATTTCTCCTTTCCTAATTTGTACTCAACAAGGGTCGCTACAGTCTTTGCCGCTCCCATATCATAAATTAAGAGCCGTTGAGGCTTCTCTGTAACTTCCTTTCGTCGAAACACGCCGTAGTTGAGTCCAGCGGCAGTTCCATCATTAATCAGCTTAACAAATGACTTGATAGAAGTCGAAACTTCTGAAGGAAGAGTATGAACGCCTAAAAACTAACCTGAAGCAAGTTTAGTTTCGCAATTTCTGCGGCCTTCTCAATTACAAGACGTTCGGCTTGAGTAAAAAATACCGGAACACTTATCACCACATCACGAAGACTCATCTTAAAGTAAAACTTTATGTAACGCAAAAGAGGCTCAGGTGAAAGTGCTACCTCTGCGTAGGCTTCCGCGAATTCTCGCACGTTGGTCAATATCATTGCGAGAAGGGTTTCCACCGGATAACTGGTGTCTCTAAATAATTAATGAAGAAACCAGTTGACTAAAAATGTTAAAACTTTGAGTCCGGTTGAAAGGAATTAAATCAAGTCCATGACGCTTTTAGAGAAACTTTACATTTATTTAGACCTTATACAACCGTGTGGTCTTCCGACCACAAACTATAACAACTGCAAGCAACCGCATTAAGCACATCGCAAAGACGGATACCGAAAAGGGGAAGCAAGTCTACGCAGGTGCTACTGGACGGTAAACGGAAAGCCAGACCAATTTTGAAAACTCCGTTACGATCACGCAAGATGCATTAGGTACGTAACTTCCACAATGCACTTATTCATGACTTGATGTGATGTACTTCCCATGCTCCATTGGGTTTCCACCTCCTGGGAGGGTTTGTGTAGAATAATCACACCCAAAAATGAAAGTTCTCGTTCTCATAGGCTGCTTTCATAGTCCACGATTTGGCCCGCGATCGAGCGATTGGGGCGGCGCTTGTCTGCGGTATCGACCAAGATTCTGTTGTAAACAAGGGCCAAGCGCCGCTCCAATCGCTCGATCGCTCGCTAGCGGGCCAAATCGTGGACTTTGAAAGCAGCCATACTAGAGCGAAGTCTGTCTGGAAAAAACAGGTAAGCAATGAGCAAAACAGTCTACCAGATTCCTCAGAAATTGAGCGTTAAGTTTTTTAAGCCGAAGCCTTCCCGCATAATTCCTTCCACAGCAACTGTAGTTATTTCACTTAACAGAAGGTGTTTCGAATTTCACATTTTTCTTTAGGTGTGCATCGCAGATAAGCATATAGTAGCATGTCCCAAATTGCAGGAATAATTAGTTTTCAGTGTGTATAATTATCGAGGATCAACATGAGCTGATCATTAATCTAGTTTACCTTTTGAGAACGTAATTTATCCATGTATTAGTACATACTACAGTGTACCATCAAAAGCAGGGCATTATTTGTCATCAAAATAAGGCATAAAACAATGACCGAATAGAGATATGTATGAAACTGCAAAAGGTGTGATAGCGAATTTGCAAGAAAAGAACTAGCAAACTTTTGCAGCTAAACGCTTGCAAAACAGTTTTGCATCCTAAAAGACTACTTTTGAAAACAATTCATTTCATTCCAACCTTAAGCACGGTCCCCCACTGAATATCCGAGAAGAAAATAACAAAAATCTTCGTAAACTTTCTCAGCTTCGTGAACAGATTGACTCATCTCGTAGGGTACCTTTCGATAGAAGTTCGTTTCAAGTTTTTGAGGACATCATTGTGCTTGTACGCTTGAACTGAAGCTTACTCACGAAACAATGAAGACCAGCTTAAAAACATTTTACAAACACACATGATATATGTTCTAACAATGGGTTCAAAGCAGAAATCTGCCACAGCATGTACGTTAAACGCGCAAAGAAAAAAGCTCAATATGTTAGGGTTTTAACCCATATGAAATGCAAAACAATTTTGTAAGGCGATAAAGATCGACCAAATTATATGCACTCAAATGATTTCCCATATTTTTCCAAGTTTCGATGACAATAAGTGGCAATTGAGCAAAATTTGCTTTCTACATTGCGACATTCTGTACCACAGGGTAAAGCTTTTGAGCCCTTCTATTTCTCGAGAAGGTTTGGAATTCCATCAGTGGCATGCCTGAGTCGTTGCCATGAATAAGCAACCAGGCAGTCAGTATTACTGTCTTTTAAATGAACGCAACGTAAGTAATCGCAAATAGCACCACACGGTATGTAAGTAGTGGTCCTAACCAGTTTCGTCGTTAAATCCTTGCCACACTATATTATTACCAGTTTGGCTATGCACGCTAATGCGCGCAGTATATGTCGACGGCCACTTATTGACGATGGAGTCATTCAGCGGAATGTTAGATAATCAGAATAAGATAGTTCTCTCTAGATTCGAACGCTGAACTGCTGAGAGCATCACGCTCGATATATTTGAGCAGAGTTATTAGTGGTTGATCATAGCTCCGTCCACCCTAGTGCAAACCCTTCCCACGGTAAACTTGACCACCCTTCTTTTGTCTGCTCTGAACCATTTTTTCCGCATTCCAAAAAGTTTTTAAAGAGATGAATTTTTGGTCTTAGCCCCGCTTTCCTGTGCATGCTCCGCCCACTTCGGGGAATACACTTGTTCCATTACCTCTTACCACTTTTTTCCCGCATTCTAGAACGTTTCTGAACAAAGTTATAAAATTTTGATCTAAGCTCCGCCCACTTTGGTGCCAGCCCCGCCCACTTCGGGAATTCGGCCACACTTGTTCCATTACCTCTTACCACTTTTTTCCCGCATTCTAGAACGTTTCTGAACAGAGTTATGAAATTTTGATCTAAGCCCCGCCCACTTTGGTGCCAGCCCCGCCCACTTCGGGAATTCGGCCACACTTGTTCCATTACCTCTTACCACTTTTTTCCCGCATCCTAGAACATTTCCGAACGAAGTTACACTCATTTTTTAAAAGTAGCTTCTATCTTAACGCACGCCCCGCCCACCGTGGGCGGGGCTTTGCTACGCCTACGCATGCCTAGCACGCATAGGGCCTTGGTTAACCCTTTTGCTTTTTTTCCTGGCCTCGATGCCTTCGTTGAATCGAGTTATGAATCTCTGTGGAAGGTACCGCCCACTGCGAGAACGCTCCGCCCACCGCCGGTAAGCTTCCCTTATTTTAGTTGTAGACCCGTTCCTCACCTTTGCACATTTTTTCCCAGCGTGTGGACTGTTATGAGACCGAAATAGAAGAATTAGTCCATGACCCCGCCCAATCCTGGCGCATGCCCCGCCCCTTGGGGGAGGAGCTCCGCCAAGCTCACATGTGCTCTGTTGCACTTACCCTATGCTCAACCTATTCCAAACTTGACCCGACTTCTCCAGGTGTTACTTCAGGTTATCTCGAATTTCCGTACAGACAGACAGACAGACAGACAGAGCGCTTTATATATAGTAAGGATCATATCCATGCCACCAATCCTTGTCACCTCCTAGGAAATGCGAGGACTTCGTACTTCTTCTTCGGTGAGCTTGAGAAGGTTCCTCTCGGGTCTTGGGTAAAGCTAAGACAGAATTTTTTTTTTCTTGAGGGGAACCATTTCACGGTCATCGAGTGTCATAGGGTGGCTAATCGATACGAGATGTAAAACATCTTTGCAACAAACCAGCCCACATTTCAATAAAAAGCATTATGAGCGGGTGCATCCAAGAACTTTCATGTCGCGCCTAGTTGATCAGAACTTTACAATTTACCACACTGCTGCGCATCAACAAGCATGCTCGAACTGTTGATATGCTCCCCGCAATTGCAACTCAGAAAAGAAACCCTTGAACAACCTCTCTCCGGTTCGTTTCGCAGGTTCAAATGAAGATTTGAAGGCAGCGGTCGAAGACACAAACTGTGAATTACACTGCATATTGGAATGCTACCGCTATTTTATTTCACTCTGGGAAGAAAACAAATAAAATTGCGTGTTGAGCAACCCACTAAATCTATGACCGTTCGAAATGGACAACTTGGTCTCAAGCAGTGAGAATACTGGAATTCCTACCCTGTGATTTCTCTATATCTAAAGCAATGAGACAGTGGCGGATGTCAAGTAACGCCGTTACTGTAAATATGGTCCGTGATCAAGTTCTGGCCGCACAGAACACTCATACTTTCGGAAATGGTTGATTGTTATGACGGTTGCCTGTAATAGTCTGAGAAGACAAGAACATTATGAATGTTGATTGTCATGCAACGTCAAATCATATGGTCGTTCGAAAACACATCCGAAATAGGAAGATTCTATTCAGAGGATTTGCGGCAACTGTTCCCAACGTCGTAGTGCGGAGGCACTCCAAAGTATGTTGACAACGCCAAAAGTCTATCTCTCGTAAATTTCAATAATCAAGAATAGCTCACCCAATAGGAAATATCACACTGCTCTCGTTTGCATGTTTCTCTATTGCTAGATGAGGGAATCGCTGACGAAAGAGCAGTACCGATGGATGGTCGATATGTTTTGCAACTAGGTCAAGAAGATGCCCGTAGACACTTGAGGGATATCGCACAGACATCGCTGAAGCAGCATCACCAAACAATCTGCAAATAAATTGAGAGTATTTGAAGACAATTGCAAGAAATAATCGAGGCACCTTTCATTTTGACGAATCGACACGACATTTGGCGTTTTTCGGTGTGATTCCTTGTTGAGCACAATTTCCATAGGAACACCAGGTTTAATCAGTCCAACCTGTAAAAGGGCCCAAGTCAAAAGGCATTACCTAGCGTAAATTGCAAAGTGAAACTCGCTCCCATGGTATAATTTTTGATGAGGAGACGGGCGCGTGTAATCGATTCGCCGCACGCGGCACTCGCGGACTAGTTGACTCGTTATTGCGGTTCTAGCTTTCTTCGTACAGCTCGATCAAAATGAGGTATTATTTTTGGCAAATTCTACTGTTAGTAGATTTGTTCCTGTATTCCTTACTCGCTGCTGCGCTGCTTCGCTCCACTCTGCTATTAGGTTGATGCATAATTATTGCGGATTTTTTCGCGGCTCTTTTTCTCTTGATAGAATTCGAATATTGAGTTCGGGTTTTTTCTAGAAATGTTCTACTTGATTTCCTCTACAAGAATATACTCAAGAAACCATCCGTATATTCGCGAAATTAGGCTTTACTACCTCGAGAAAGATCAGAAGGTGGCACAGTCATTCCGC